TTTAATTACCATTTTTAATATTCTTCGCGGTATCCCTTAATTCTTCAGGAGTCAAAAACTGAAGATAATATTTCTTTTCATGAATATGTACATAGGCTAGGTTTGTCAAATTACGTACCTTTTCAATGAAAGGAGATCTACAAACAAATTAATTGGTTCTATAGCATATGGAAACTCCCTAACGCTACTTATAGGATTTTCGTCGCCTACAATCTTTTTTTGATGCTCAATTACTGAAATCAGTTTACGTTACTTCGATGCAACTGAATATAGTTGAAAATCACCTGCAACTCAAACTGTTGCAATAACTACCGAAATACGACTGTAAAATATTGAAAATTGGCATGGTTAGTCTTTTGTTTGACTAGACTCAATGCAACTTAAATACTATAAAACTGGACTTTTAGACCTGGACTAGCAGTAGCCTTTTCAAAAAGACAACTCTTTCTAGACTCTTACTTCCGTCTTCTTGTTCTACAATTTTTCTCTCTGGTAAATTAGTGTTACAGTCATTTTTATACCAGCCAGAAAACCAATTCTCCTTAGTGTAAATAAACTAAAGCTGATGTAAGTCTATTGGACAGCCTTATTAGCATGAAAACTTCGAGATAATTACTTTGTCAAAAAAGTTTTTCTACCTAAGTTTTCAATATTAAGATTAGGTTAACTGGCCAATATAAAACAAGGAGAACAATATAAAAACTACAAAGTATATACTAGTGAACAGACTTTTCATATTAACAGATAGGAAAGTACTAAAATCACAGTTTGAAGATCTAAGGTTGGTATCGATGTACAGAGGGTTTTAAGCTTCTTCATTGAAGATGATTGGCTAAAACGTTTCCATAAATTAACTACGGACGTGATCGCAAAACTCAAAGTGTAAATTAAAAATACAGTTCGCGGTAGAGAGTACAAATTACAATAATAGATGTGTACTTTAATCAACACCTGTGAATTGGGAGATATTCCATACCATTGTCATTAAAATAGTTTAAGTTACAAATAAAAACCATCAACTAATTAATTCGATCGAGAACCCGGGAAACCAGCCAAAAATTGGCCAAAATAAGGGTAGAGGTCATTCCTGGAAATCTTGATGAGGAATCAAGTGAAGCTTGAAATATCAAACCATGCGATATTTTAAAATGTAAACAAGCCTTTGTTGGAAAACTTTATTGAACATTCTTTTACGATAAAAGGGTTGCCGTGGAAGTCGCGAAAGTGTACCAAAATAGAACATATTTGTTCAAATGCTTGAAAGGAGAAGGTTTATTGTTGATGAATATTTTATACATCGAACTTGTAAAGGTATGGTGAGCAACTAACGATAGTTGAATATTCGTGATACCTGACATTACATCCCAATAAAATGTCCGTTAGTTAACTTATCACACTGTAACAACTTAAGAAATCCTCTTAATTTTAAGCATAAATCAAACTGGGTAAGAATAAACTATATCAAGGCAAAGTGAACTCAAATAAAGAACTAAAAAAGTTAAATGATACAAATTTTGACAGAGTTGCCAGCTTAATGTTCTTTTTACTGCCAGAAAATTGTCAGTATCCTTTTGGTCCTTTGTTTAGACTGCTAAACGTGTTCGCTGGAACATATTTTCTTGTATACGATTTATCAACCCCATTTTTTTACGCGTGTTTAATGTTAATATATATAGCTGAAAAAACAGATCCCCAGTCCGTGTGCTTGTTCATTTTGCTACGCTTATCATCACGACAGATTTTGATTTTTCACATTTTGTCCAACTGTCAGCCGATTCGGACAGCGATGGCATTTCAGAAACTCCTAGCTTTTATTGGCACCATTTTACTGGTAAGATATTTCTTGAACAGCACAACTATACACGACATGTGATTTATATCACCTTATATCTTCCACAAAAACGCTTTGTGCTAACAAAAAAAAAAGGTCCAAATGCTGAAGCTTGAAAATTCTAAATTAAACGATCTTTCTAGTTTAAGCTGATGTAATTTATATTTAATCTAATTATCCATTAAATTGAAACATTTAAAAAAAAAACGTTAAAACTCTTTCGATGCCGAGCAAAGTCCTTCAAGTGATTTCGAAGCCAGAATATTAAGCGCGTAAATAGAACAAGCGGTACCGGCTAACAAAGTGTTCCTCTTTTCCAGGGAATTGAAACAGCTGAAGATAGACTGAAAAAAAAAACGCGATATAAACGTTTATCGATCAAACGTCAAGATAACTGCGTACAATTTACACGGATATCAGATCACAAGACACATTTTTGTATTAGAAATTTTCTGCAGAGCAAGGCTCAGTTTTCTTTTTAAGTATTTCGTAAAAAAGTCTTATTTTGTTCACTCTGTTTTGGGTTAAAGTCGTTGCCCCCAGCCAAAGCGAATAGAATCCAGAGCTTGCAACCTCCTGTGTTGATTATCTGCGCAGTGGGACCTCTGAAAGTGGCATCTACAAACTTTACGACCAAAATGGAAAAAGTTACACCGCTTACTGTGACATGAAGTCCGAATTGGACACTGCATGGACTATGGTGATGTCATGGTGCACCACAAATCGAAAGCTCGCAGCGTTTGTGAAATACCCCTTCAACTACAACTCCCCACAAAACGAGGACGCCCTTAACTGGGATCTTTACCGCTTAAGTCTAACGGGAATGAGATACTCACGGCTTGCAGGAAATGTCCACTAACTGGCGAGCAACATGCAGCTACCCGTTAAAATGTATCGATTTTAGAGATTACCCTCGGTGAAACTTCCAAGATTTTAACATCTTCGAATTTGTCGGAACGGGCACTTGCAAGAAAGTGGAATATGTCAACATCCGGGGTCACGTGGGCACGGATGTGAAGGCGTGTTTCTTTCAGGAGTTAAATCAATACACCCTGCATATTGACACTCCATCCGGATCCAACAACTGTCAGTTTAACGCGGAAACTGGTGCAGTGCTAAGTGAGGACAATTTTAATTGGTACGGTAATGGCCTCAACCAATAAATTCCGATGCACGGCAACAGACGAATCCACCACCCAGTATTGGTTTGGTGCTAAGCGCTAATCTGCTCCGAGACAAACAACCTTGCAATGGGTTACCGAGTTGGACCATGTTCCCTCGCATTTGATTTTTAAGAAACATTAATTTATAGATAACGCCCGTGTAGTGTTTCACAGATAGATCTCAAAAAAATGTCGGCAATCACAGAAATCAGGGGCACCCAACGAGAATATGATTCAAAACCACTTAAACATAGCATTGTTAAACGTATTTTAGTATTTAAACGGTAGATATAAGCATATGTTTATCTCCTAAAAATTTTTCATCTCCTCGGATTTCCTAGCTGAAAGTCTAGTGATCCGAAAATAATAGGGTTCAAAACTTACCTTTTCGAAAATTTCAGCGAGTAAAAAGGCTACCGAAATTTCTAGGCGACCTTTTTAGGGTAAAAATCCGTTAAAAATGGCCATGTATACGTAGATGTTCGAAAATCTTAGGAGAGGCAGGCAAGGAAGAAATTTTACAACAAATGTTCCGAAAATTCTAGATCTCAAATCGTCTTCCGAACAGGTATTTTCCGAAAATTGCCGATGGGTGCCCCTGAGAAATCAAGGTATCTTAGCTCACTTGTGGTAAATTTGTGCGACGAAGAGAGGGAAACTAATATTACTTCAGGGAACGGTTTTGAACGAAAGAGGAAGGAAGAAGAGAAACTTCCTTTTTTTCCACCAACTGCGAAAATTAATGGAACAAACAACAACAACAACGAGCTTTATTTGCATGACCGTACAAGCACATACAGTATTGCAAAAGCTGTGTTTAGGAATCAAAGTTACAACACAGGCCCCTATAAATAACTATCCATGAAATGTCATTTGCAGCAATTTCTACTCAAAAGAAGGAAACGTCCCTGGAAAATGTGTTTTACATTGTCTAATACCCAAACATATCACCCGCGATGACGTCATCAGTAGTGCCTTTCAATATTGGTATACAAACCACAGGAATTAACGGAATACATGTACGCGATATTTTGTCAAAAAATGATGGGATATGCAATACTCGGACCCCCCCCTAATGGGGCCTTAAGCTGGCGGACCGTTGGTTTAAGTAAAACCCTCCTGCCCTTCGATGAAACATTGGTTTTCAAACCAAACAAATAAGAATATTTACAATAACAACATTTCAATTGTAGATAGATAGAAATCTTTATTTCAGTTGGGTGGCTCCTTCAGTTTTTGTACAAAATAAAATAAAAACTGAATAAACTGAAAAAATAAAAATAGCTATAAAATGCCACAATGTTTAGTTTCGTCTATGTCGCAGGCTACCCACTTACTCAAAATCTGAATCAGCCACTGCTTAAAAACTGCTTCTAAAAGAAGGATAGTGCTATTTGTTTAACATTTAAAATACCTATACAATGAATAACTATCCGCCATTAGTGGTTAGCAATAACGAACCTTCTAAATAGCAGGTGCTAAAAGGATTGAAAATGAAATCATTTTTGGCACTGCTGATGAGGTGCAGTAAAAACTGACAAGACACTAGCCACCCGCTGCCCCAAGATCCTTGATAGACCTAATTTTTGTCCAATGATCTACCTAAACGTTTGACAAATTACTTGACTCCATTCCTATACAGGCTGGACTCCCTGTGAAGTGTTTAATGGCATGACACGGCTTTGGAAAAATCTACCCAGGGTGATGGAATAGCATGAACGGCTGTTACGGATCAACTGCTTTGCCTCCCTTTGAATTTCTTTGATCCTCCAACAATAAACCACTGGGTTAAGAGACNACAAGACACTAGCCACCCGCTGCCCCAAGATCCTTGATAGACCTAATTTTTGTCCAATGATCTACCTAAACGTTTGACAAATTACTTGACTCCATTCCTATACAGGCTGGACTCCCTGTGAAGTGTTTAATGGCATGACACGGCTTTGGAAAAATCTACCCAGGGTGATGGAATAGCATGAACGGCTGTTACGGATCAACTGCTTTGCCTCCCTTTGAATTTCTTTGATCCTCCAACAATAAACCACTGGGTTAAGAGACGAATTTAACAAAGCGAGAAACGAAGTGTTATCGAGGGCAAAAAGCTGGGGAAAACTGCTGAAGCCAAAGGCCGTAGCAGCAACTAAAGCAAATACGAAAGGTAGATAAGTACTCAAAAATAGGCAAAAAACAATGAACATGCTGTTGGTTGATTTGCGATAGTAGGAAACGCCAAAAGAACTCTCCATTCTGAGTTTATGCTGACGGAGGTTGGTGTATGTCTTGAGATAGAAAAATAAGGCAAGCAAAAGACAGGAAACCAACATCAAGTTGCTAGCTATACGTCGAAGATTCATGCTAAAGGTTCCGGATACAGTGAAGAAGGCGGACAAAAACCAAGCTACCATAAGAATCAAAGTTATTCGCTTGACAGTGACAATTTTACGATACCTGAATCGAAGAATCAAAGCAAGATGTCTGTCAAGAGCTACTACTGAGATTGTACAGAAGGACACAAGACCCAGGAAAGAAGAAAACAAACTGTAACGTAAACCAACAATACAGAATAGTCCGGGATTATCCCATGCTATGGCGAACGTGTATGCAGCAAACAGTGGTTGAGCAACAAAGGCCCACGCCAAAGTCAGATAGTGCCAGGCTGGAGAAGAGAGCTTTGGATGACGGATGAAGTGAAGAGCAGCGTCGGAGGGCGAGCAAAATTATGGCATTCCCCGTAAGAGCTGTTAATGAACAGACAAGGTTTCCAATACCCAAAAAATGATATGCGAATGGGGCTTGGCTTAAAGAAATAAATATAGAGATATCAAGAGTACACGACCCGTTATACATGATGATATGTTGTGAGCTGTCCATATAACAACCTTGCAATGTCGGGGTGAACTATCTACACTCGCTTTCAGTTCGTTCTCTTTTCCTCCGACTGACAAATTACCGATTTTAAAGATATGATATTCAATTACTCGAAAACTTCAGGTCGGTTATACTCATTCACAGAATCCCTGTTTTTCTGCTTTTATCTAAAATGAAATTTAACTCTAGTAAATTCACAATTCGTCTTAACTGTTTAATTTCACCAAATGAAAATGTGTTGCATTTCCTGTAAAAAATATAACAATAAAATAAAAATACTATTAATACACAAAGAGATGTCCACTATAATCTATTTGTAATGATGCACTATAAGTAAATACTATTTTGCTTTCGTTTTTCTTTTGTTTTGTTTTTTCTACCTCATTACTTGCTTCCGTCGGATGCGATATTAGAAAAATATAAAGGCAAAACAACTTAAAGGTTATTACCCGATGACATGGGCTAATAGAACGCCTTTTAAGCTATTATTTGGATAGTATATTATACAGGTGCGGCTAATTTAAACCAGAAGCATATAATGCGGTATGTAATTTCCGACAGAAAAATATCAACTCGATAAGTGGTTTGCGAAAAATGAATCTGATTTATTTCAAGAATAATGCTTTGTGCAGGACTGAATGCTGGACTAAGTTAAATGAGGGGTTGTCACTTAAATCTGTTTTAATTAATAATTGTTTCTAATGTTGATACCACGGCGTTCATTACAGTATGCGGTTTAAGATAGCATAGCTTTAGCTGATAAATCGTCGGATTTAACACCACAGCAGAAGAAGAACTTATAATAAAGAGAATTATCTGACATTTATAAAAATATACACACACACTATACTTTATTTTCATATACATCAATTTGCCATCACCGCCCGCAAATAGCAAAAGCTAGACGAGGCGGGTGGAGAGGAAAAGTTACAGCAGTCATAACACATGATATTGTAAAGTAAAGTTCTAAATAAACTACGTGGATAAATAAGAATTACAGAAAAACAAGCTAAAGTTCGAGATATATATATAGTCTTACAAAATGATATTACAAGACAAATTTACTACTAACAGAACCTATCAATTATTAGTGCATTGAGGATGTAGAATTTTCCTTTTTTTCTAGGAGAATGGGCACTTCAACACAATCGTCCTCTGCTTCCATTATCGAGAGCAAAAAGTCGTGAAAGTTTTTTATAAAAGCTCCTTTGGAGAGTTGACGAAATTCGTTAGGAATTGCGCTCCAAAGTTTAGCTCCAAACCCGGAAAAAAGAATCTTGATTTAGATTCAGTCTTGAAGTTTGGACATAATAATTTCCAGACGAAGAAAACCTGGTTTCATGCTTGTGCTTTGATTTAGCTTTAGTGAAGAAGTCAGACATTAGACGGAGCATTCATGTAGGAGACGTCAAAGATTATACCATATAACATTTGTAAAGGTCAAATTTTTGAGGAAATAAATAAAGACACAGCATGGCACAGCATGGCACAGCATGGCACAGCATGGCACAACATTACGGTACAGCAGGGGGGGGGAGGGGTGGGGGAGTGTCTCCAAGGAAATCTGTGGTACAGTCCGCCTGCCAGTATGACGCCACATCTCGCGTCAGTAACTTTCAAAATGGCGAGTAAAGTGCACGTGTTCATCGAAGAGACGGATAAAAATTTCGATTTAATCATGGAAATACTGTTCCGATTTCTTGGATTTGGAGATTTTCCTATTGCCATAGAAAACTAGACTTAAGTACTTTTTTGGAATGAAATGTCCAGTGGTGTAATTAATTTTAAAGATTCCTTTCTATCGTCGAGCAAATTTTACGGGCAATCATACCGACCGGTCACACTCTTGAGGGCCAGTGCACAGCAAGATTGAGGAGTTTAGACACAGCAATAGGAGGTTCATGAAAGGATGTATTATATATACTTTAAACATTGCGCATATTTTCAGCTCTTCAGAGCTAGTGAAACCCCATATCGTTCCTCTCAAAGTTCGCTTAGCTTTAGCGTCGAAAGAGGAAGCTAAATGACAGGTATTTGTGAGAGACTGTGAGCACTGAATCTCGTTGCTTTACCGGCGCATTTTAATACTGTATTGGGCATACACCTGTAATTCTGTAATTCAATCCCGAAAGCCAATAAAAGGTTTTGTTTCATTATTTTTGGGGGGCAAACCCAGTGGAGATTTTAGGGTAATAATATTGATGATTAAGACGATGAACAAAAGGCAAGTTTAACTTTCGCCAGTGGGTCACTGGTGGGTGTTCGGTGTAAATTAGTACAGTTTGTGGTGTACTGTGTGTTATTTGTCATGATGTCAACTAACATTGAAAAAAACTCAGCTGTTTCAGAGGAGGGACATGTCTTGACAGCTTATGGTTTTTATTTGATCGTAAGCTTGGCCAGTATGCAGATAAAGAGCTTCTGAAATCCCTTTGCCAAAATAAAACTCCGGACTTAAACTTAAAATATGTATTGATCCAAGTGCATGACCAGCAGAGTCAGCAGTAAGAATAAAGAAAAAACGGCAAAAGGAAAAATAGTGTTAAAAAAAGAGACCAAACACGGAAAAAAAAAGACGGTACAAAGAAACAGAAAACAGCGTCGCCGGAAGTCGAACCCGGTTTATCTGCAGGTGCAAGCAACTCCTTGACCACTGCACCACAGTGACACACATGATTTGATATAATTATTAATTTTGTCATATCAAAACAATTTTTCTCTGCCATAGACGCTGTTTGAAGCTTGTGGAGCTGTATTTATCATGAATTCAAATATACATTTGAGGAAAATTAGCTTAAGCGCGTATTTCAAAGCTATTTCGCATCGCATTATTTCGTGTTCAACGGGCCTACTCGATTTAGACAATCGATCGAACTACCTTTACTGAATTTGGTGGAGAATTAGTCGATCAACAGAGGCCTACACTTGAAAGGAATGATATGAAGTTAAGCCCATTTAATTAGCAAAAGAATAGATGAAATATAAACATGGGTGATCGGTGAATAAAACCTCCTATTCTGGAGACTAGACCTTGCCTCTTTTAGAGAAAAAAACGATTCAAGTTTTGATGACCTTGTCGTTCCCGTGAAATAGATGGCGATCCCGCAACACGGCAAGAAAAACAAATTAACAAAATTATACAATCACGGGCACAAAATATCAAAACGGTTTACACAAGCAGATTATAGCAACCCCAAAGCTCACACTCATTCGATCAAATTAGCGATATATGGCGATATTTGCTAGCTTCTTAGCTTTTCCTCGACCTCTCTCGCCCAAATAACTGTCGTATCCCTTGCTAATTTGTACAAGCGACCCGAGGGTCTTGCCCGTTACTATGTGACGTCATACTGGCAGGCGGAGTGGGTCAAGGAAGTTAGGTGGAAAACAATAGAGTTACCGCTGCGGTACAGTATTACGGCACAGCATTACGGTTCCATCGGTACGTTTATATTCTACAGTGAACTAAACCGATTTCGGCTTGAATTCTCCACTTTAGAAACTGTTCACATACCCCTCCCCTAAGCCAATATTAACACTAGCCTGCGAAAACATCCGTTTCTCCTCACTCTTCGCCGCTGGGGACGTTTCGCATTAACACGCTGCATTAACACTTACCTCTCACTAAGGGCAAAATGTTGCCTTAGGGGAGGGCTAGCTGGGCAGTTTCCCAAAAACGTATGATGATCCGAAATGAGAGCGAAACTAGTAGGTCGATTTAACTCCTGGGCAGTTACTAGGGACAGGAGGGAGGGGCAGGGATCGGACAAAAACTGACCCGGCGCGTCCCCAGTATCGTTTATTATCAGTTTACATGCAGAGAATCATGCATTCTCGTGTTCAACCTTGGTGTTTTCGGCGTTTAAGACAACCGCAGGTTTAAAAATAAACTACAATCGTGCTGGAATTCATGGCCCTTTAGATGAACAAAAACGTTAGATGCTTGAAAAAGGTTATTATGCTTCAAGACTCTTAACTCTGTTTTAGATACACTTAATTTTATTGACACTTATGCCTCTACATTGATTACCGGAGTATCATCTCAATACATATACAAAATATCCAATTTTCTTTCTTACTTTCAAACTTTTTTACACCAATTGTTTTATTTTTATTTGTTATTCAATTTATTTATTCAGTTTTCTTTATATGCTTCAGTTAGCTTCAATACAATAACGTTCTGTTATAAGCTATGCAAGGAAGTGGAATACAACTTTCAGGTCACCCTTTCAATATATTTGTGGCCGGAACAATATAACGGGTGTCAAAAGAAGCAGGTATTCTTTTCGGCCTTCTGGCTTTGAAAAAAGCACAGAATAAAACGTTATCAATTGTTAGCACAGAGTATTGTTTTTGATCACGTAAAGATATAAATGAGCGAGTTTTGAAGTGGATATTTTTAACCGTTAGTCTTAAACAATTAATATTGTACATATTATTATTTATTATAATTATTATTATTATTATTATTATTATTATTATTATTATTATTATTATCATTATTATTGTCATTTTTATTATTATTATTTTAATAAAT